AACATGGTTTAACCTAGCGTATGTCACCTTACCGTACTCCTATCAAGTTTTGCTATTTAGGCTATGAATTAATGAGGTTTGAGACATGATATTATACCATAGCCTCTAATGGGTGAACCTCATTATCTAATCTAAATCGTAAGATTCATTTAATGCAAAATAGTAACCAAATAATTTTATTTGTCAAAATATATTAAAGTACAACTAATAGGTGTGAATGAAAGTGTATATTACACTTCGTGCGTATGCTAGCCTTTGCCACCATTATATTAAAGCAAAATCAAACTATTATGTAGGGCTGGGAATCGGTGCAGTTGCGGTCAACCGAACCAAAATTTGTGGTTAACCGAAACCGATACGGAGCCATATATGCCAACCGCAGTCGCACCACAAATAGTTTGAAGTTAACCACTAACCACAAAGTGCGATTAACAATGATTTACCAATCTATGTATAATCCGCGGTGGTATACATGACATCTAATGTACTACCCAGGGAGTGTATGACTTGGAAAATTAATAAGTAAAAAGTATTGAATTAACCTAACCATACATGTGATTGAATCCTTGTATAACGAAGAATTAGAACATTATCTTATGAGTTGTGTTATCCGGCGAGTATAACTGGTTACTAAAAATAGTAATAGTAATATATGTATTAGGGTGTCACATTTTATATAAGTAAGGATTAAAATAATTATTTACATCTCAACCATTATATATATCCAATAGATTAGATTCATTTAGAAATCTTGCTTGATTTAGGTGTTATTAAAGTTGCACATTTGCAATCATGTAGGAAAAAGAACTTATGTCAAACAATAAAAAGAGAAAAGAAAGGAATTATAATTAAATTAGGAAAGAAGTAAACACAATGTGTTTTTATAATTGTGAATGGAAGAAAATTAAAAGAAGTATGAAAAATAAAAATAGAAATAAATTGGAATAACATAAAAGAAAAGATTATGATTTATTTTAATATGCGAGAAAGGTCAAATTCAATTCCTAAAGATGACAAAATGCATATTTGTATATGCACATTATTTTTCTTGTAACTTCTTTTTACCAATTGGTCACGAACATATTTAAGCTATATAATCATAATTCGATTTTGAGAAAGATACAAAAATATTTTGGTGACCATTGGTGATATTCTTAAACACATGAAATTGTCGTCTATCATTTTAACATATAACTGAAGTATGTTTATATATTTTATTATCTTAAAGTATAGGAACATGTCACATAAATAAGTTATTATGACTATGTTCGGACTTAGCTAATTATCATTGTTACTACATGATATTATCTCTAAATAATCTAGTAAACACACAAAAAATTGTTATATTTCTAGTACAACGTGATAAGAGTGTATAGTTAAGATATTTTTAGTAGCTCTTTTTTTTTCATTGAATTTAGTAGCTCTTTTCTAACAAATTGCAACAAAATTGTATTGGTTCACATATTTATAGTAGTTCGTACAAACAAAATGTTAAATTCTACGTATTCTAGAATACAAAATAAGGTTATTCTTTGCTTTTTTATTTTTCAATTTTAAAAGAAAATCACATGTCAAATTATGTAAAAGTTTAGATTTTGTATCGACTAATTTCATGCTTTTTTGGTTCTTTAATTATTTTTTAAAAACTATAAACAAATATCAAATATATTATAAACTAAAAATTAAACATAGGTTATTTGTAGTTGTTACTGATTTTCTATCATTGCTAAAAATAGAATACAAAATTTTATCTGTGATAGTTTTTATTTTGTAATGTATAGAAGTCAACCATTAAATAAAAATAGAATGTTATGTGTTGTACATTTTTTCTAACATGAGTATTAATCTTGTTGTGATTAATTGCATCAAAGAGATTTAATTCTATTGGCTAAAAACTTAATGATTATAGTTGAGCTCTTAGGTTGCATGATTAAATCTTAGTTTGGTGATTGATATACATATTTTGATATGATTAATTGCGGGAGTGGAAAAGTAGTAATCACTGTGGTTACTAAGGGTAAATTGGGTACGAAAAAATAAATTATATTAATTAATTTTAATAAATTACATTTTAGGTAGTTACAAAATCTATTAATTACAATTTTTTCTCTTTCTCTCACTTCCGTAATCTCCAGTCAGATCTCCTTTCCATATTTTTCTCAATCTTTCTGCAAAAGAAAAAACACAAAATCACTACCAATCCATTAGACAACCGGGTAAATGACACATTTGGTCACTGAGATTACTAAATCGTTTCATATTTAGTCACTAGAAAAATTTAATATCAATTTTGGTCACTCGAATTACTGACACAGGTCACATTTGGTCACTCTTCTGTAGTCTCTGTCCAACTCCGATCACTCGAATTATTGAAAAATGTCACATTTAGTCACTCGTATTACTGAAACATGTCACATTTAGTCACTCTCCCAAAAGTTTCCGTCCAACTACATTAATGGAGTTGGACGGAAATTGACGGGAGAGTGACTAAATTTGACCAGTTTCGGTAATTCGAGTGACCAAAATTGATATTAATTTTTTCTAGTGACTAAACATGACACAATTTAATAATCTCAGTGACCAAATATGTCATTTACCCTTAGACAACCACTACCATTTTGAAAAACATCAATACCATTGCAAAAATAAATATATACCATCACACGAAAATTACCAATATAAACAATCTATACCATTACAAAAGTCAAACAAATACCAAAACAACCAATACCACTACTACTGTGAAATCAAAACAATACCATTGCATAAATAAATCAATACAAACACTACCAAAACAAATACTAAGAAACTACCAAACCATAATGCAAACACTACCAAACCAAATGCAGATAACTACCAAAACATAATGCTCCAACTAACCAACACAAATGCAGGTAATTACCAAAGAAAATGCACGTAACCACCAAAGCATAATGCAAACAGTACCAAAATAAAATGCAAGGTAGCTACCAAAGCAAATCCTTTACCAATGCAAACACTACCATTCTAGATTACCTGCAGAAGCAAAGCTGAACGCTCCCTCCGGCAAACTGTATTTGAATATCTAATCGGGTTCTCGTTTCTGACCACGACCTCGATCGACGATCCATGTTCGGAACCCAGCGCCGCCGTTATTAACGTCGAGGGAAGATTCGGAAGTGGCGGGGGAATCGTCGTCGCCGGGGAGGTCCCAATCTGGGACGCGAGAGTCCATTGATGGTGCTGCAGCTTCCGGTGACGATTTGGGCTTCTTGCTATTTTTCGCCGTCGATTTGGGTCTGTTATAGTTTCAGCGGTGATGGGTGGGGAAAAGGAAAAAGGAAAAGGGAAGAGAAGAAGGAGAAGGGGAAAATGGATTTAGAAGGTTTAATGGATATGGGAGTTTGAATAAAAAGATGGTTGGAGGAGAGGACCGGTGATGCCAAACTTGCGGCGACTGGCGATTGAAGAGGAAGGGGAGGGATACAGTGGCTATTGTAGAGGAAGGAGAGGAATAAGGTTATTTAGGGTTTAAAGAGAATATATGTGAATCATATTTTAAGGATAGTAATCAGGTGAGGTTATTATTTTTGTTCCAAAATTATTCCTAATAAATCCTGATCGTAGGTTTAAAAATATTGAGAATAAAGGGTGGAGATATCGGTAGCCACGATGGTTACTTAAAAAATAGTAACCATCCTAACTCATCCCGATTAATGGGATTGCATCAAATATATCTTACTGGTTGAACACTTGAAATGATGATAGTTTAAATTTATAGGTCACATGTTTAAATCATCGTCATGATGATTGATATACATGTTTATTCAGTTTTATTTTAATGTAATTAATAACTTTTAAATATAAAAATGATAAAATGACATGGAAAATTGTGGAGCTTTCTTGCAAAAACTTTCTCTACAACGACCAAGATATATTAATTAACAATATCATAATAAATGCTTGTGACGAGAGATTTGAGAGGGATTTGGATTAAAATCTGTTGTTTAAAAACCCAGGAAATTTATATACAGGATTTGTACCAAATAACTCGTATGGAATTGGATGTGGGTTTTTAGGGAAAGAAGCAAAATTTCTGTTTTGTCCTCTCTTTGTTCATAGCATTCTTCGTTGTTCAAGCAAGTGAACCCAGATTTGGTGCTCGTCGCGTCCCTGTCGCAACCATCTTGGGCGAGAGAAAGAGCAATCCGCTCAATCTAGTTCTCTTTGTCCACTCTTGTTGTCTCCCAGTCGATTCGCCGCCATCAAATAGAAGAAAGGAGAGAAATGATTCAAGCTGGAAGGACGCGTCTCGTTGAAGAATATGGGATGGGAGGATGCGAATCGTCGGCGACATCAGTCATCGCCGGAAACGCACCATGTGAATCCCTCTCTACTCCTCCCGTCAACGTGTTCTTCCTCTATTCAAAAGTAGTCAAGAAATATGGAGATTGAGCCTAGAAATAACCCATCCCAAAGATTGGGAAGAAGAAAGCGTCACCAGTCATGAACTGCCGAGGCAGGGGAAGCCTAATGGGGATTTTTGGGTGGAGCGGATAGGGAAAGCCTTAGTGGGCAATTTTGGGTTCCCGAACTTCAATTGAGGGGTTTTTTTTTGGGAATGAAATATTGTAATGGATGGCGACGAAACCGGCAACATTTGGGGCGACTGTGGCGATGGAAGCAGCAACATCTAGGGCGATGGACGACGTTTAGTGGGGTTGGTGAGCTGTAGATCGAAGGAAGAATGAAAGGGTAACGATTGGAAAATAATAATATAAAACGAGAGATTTCGAAATAGCTGGTGTTTATAAGCTATTTTAAAAACCCACGTTTGAGGGTTTTTGAAATCCCAAAAATCTCTCATCGATTATGATTATGTCTTTTCCAAATAAGTGATTTTAACACAATCTCTCTTTAACTCCTCATCCAAACGAGAAATTGTGTTAAAATCTTTCATAGAAAATCCTCATCCAAACGGGGTCTTTTATTAAAAAAAAAGGGGCCTATTTTTAACTTTCTTTTGGTACTAATTCCGAATAAAGCTTTATAAAGCTTTATCCTTGTTCCACCACTCTATTTTCCATCGATTTCGACATTTCGTCTCCCCAGACGTTCCCCTCCAAACCCTATCGGTCTCCTTTTCTCCTGCCTCTTTCCGTCAGCGAAATCGACTACAGTCTGCAAAGAGGGTTATTCAATACAGCGAAGATTGGCGGCCATGTTTTTATCCCTTGCGTCTCAAAGTTCCTCACCCTTCTTTGCCATGTTAGTCGATAGATAAATCTTCAATACTCTTAGCTCCGTTGACAAGTTCGCTGCCCTCCTTGTTTGGATCCACCAGCTTATTTCAAGCAGAAGTATAAAATTCGCGCTCGGATAACAGTAAACTCGTGATTTCTTACTTCTCCGATAGTCGCTATTTGCCGCTCCAAAGCAGGAGCGTGGGTCTGACATGGCTGCTTGGGTAACCAAGGAAATATAGAAGCTTGCGAGGGTTTTTGTCAAAATCGGATATATGGCAGCACAAGGACAGGCGGTCATGGACCCTGCTGTGCTAGACGACATAATCAGAAGGTTGACGGAGGTCCGATCAGCCAGGCCGGGCAAGCAGGTCCAGCTATCCGAAGCTGAGATCAAGCAGCTTTGTGTCGCCTCCCGTGAGGTCTTCCTTCAGCAGCCCAATTTACTCGAGCTAGAAGCCCCCATCAAGATATGCGGTACGGTGATTCTTGGTTTTAGGTTCCTCTTTTGTATTTGTCATCTTGCCTGCACGTTGCCTGTATCAGAAGTTCGAGAGGTTTGTATGGACTTCTCTCTATTTTTTGCTTCTTGGGTTGTTTTAGTTCTTTGATTGTTGGTCGGGAGGAGAAGTGCGTTGGTCCTGCAATTGACTATTAGTGATTGTATCCTTTTGTTTCCATAAGCTATTCGCTGTAGTAAGAGCCATTGGGTTTAACGGTTGTGCATGAAGCTGGCTTTCTTGCTTCTGCGGGTTGATTGCTGAATTTATGAGGATGGATGTTAGTTGTTTTAATAGTACAGGGAGGAAACGTAGGCACTGTTGTATTGCTGACTAACTGTATGACTGAAATTGGAGAGTTCGGTAGACAATTGTTCCTCTGTCCATTGTCCTTCCATTGTCTTCTGTTCTTGAAATTTTAGCGCGACACTTGAAAGTGAATTCCACAGGGCATTTCACGTGCTCTAATTTGCAACTCTAGCAGTTAAACCAAGTATGCAACTAAGAGGCAATTGGGTAGCCTTTGTAGCTGTTACGACATGTTTGATGAATGTAGTATTTTGTATGTGTGAGGCAATCTTGAATCCTTGGGCTGACGTGTATGTCTGTGTCATTGATTGTATGTCTACATTCAACTATTTGGTTTCCTTTATTTACTGGAGATAACTTATGTGCCCATTTCTTTGTGTTCTTTTGTCTATCAACTATTTTATTATATGCATTATTTCCTGTGTGTGTTTCTGTGTTTTGTGAGTCTCTATTCAACTGTTGTTGTCATGCTTGATTTCCTGGTTTGACGTCTATGCACATTTTCTTTCTGGTGTTTAAGGTGATGTTCATGGGCAATACAGTGATTTATTGAGGCTTTTCGAGTATGGAGGTTTTCCACCTGAAGCCAACTATCTATTCTTAGGAGACTATGTTGATCGTGGCAAACAGAGCTTGGAGACTATATGCCTCTTGCTTGCCTACAAGATTAAGTACCCGGAGAACTTTTTCCTTCTAAGAGGGAATCACGAATGTGCTTCTATAAACCGCATTTATGGATTCTATGACGAGTGCAAGAGACGGTTCAATGTGAGGCTTTGGAAATCTTTCACTGACTCTTTTAATTGCCTTCCTGTTGCGGCTCTTGTAGACGACAAAATATTATGCATGCATGGTGGTCTTTCCCCTGATTTGACACATTTAGATCAAATCAGAAACTTGCCTCGCCCCACTGCTGTTCCAGACACAGGTTTACTGTGCGATTTGCTGTGGTCAGATCCTGGTAGAGATGTTAAAGGGTGGGGAATGAATGACAGAGGAGTTTCATATACCTTTGGCCCTGATAAGGTATCCGAATTCTTGAACAAGCATGATTTGGACCTTGTTTGCCGTGCACATCAGGTGATTGATTCACTTTCAGTGAGCTACTGGTATCTGGTTTTTGGGTAACCTTCTGATCCATTGTGGAGATTAAAATGAATTTTCTTTTGTCTAGGTTGTAGAGGATGGATATGAGTTCTTTGCTGATAGGCAACTTGTGACCGTATTCTCAGCTCCCAATTATTGCGGCGAATTCGATAATGCTGGTGCTATGATGTGTGTCGATGAGAACCTGATGTGCTCCTTTCAGATTTTGAAGCCTGCCGAGAAAAAAGCTAAGTTCATGATGTCAAACAAAATGTGAAGGGGCCAAGACTTGGAACACTTGGTCTTGAGTCTCATGGAGGTCAGCTATACACTCTTATCTATTCCCTTTGATTCGCCTAATTATTGTTCATAGTTCACCTGGTTTGTACGCGTCCTGATGGTCTTTCTTGCACTGGTATATGTGGTTTATCATTCTTATTCATACAAGTTGTGAGAGTTATCATTCCTGGTGCATTGATTTTCTTTTTTGTCATTGCTTCAATATAATCGGAAAACAGTAGAGTCTGAACAACTGTTGTACTTTTTCTAGATTTTTTTATAGATAAGGGTGACAACATAGATTGATTTATTTAATTTGGTGCCACTGAAGGGATTTGAACTTGAAACCTTTTAATTCAAAATTAGTGGTAATACTACTATAGTCCAAACCTTTGTTCGCCTGAACAACTGTTTTACTTATATTCTCTGCAATGTATACTATTATACAAAAAGATGTAATATTTGTTGTGTCCTTCCTTTCCCTCTCTCTCCGTTACTATATGTCTTAGCAGCCTGTTTTCGGATATCATCAGGTCAACAATGTGGAACATTGAAAAATCAGTCTAAAATCAACGGCTAAATTACACGTTTTTTGCGGTGCCACCAAATTTTTTGTCTTTCCTTATTAGTCACTCATTTTAACTATCATTCTAGTCATTGGACGTCAAATCCGTTCTTCCGTCTCACCCTCCATTCTGAACTGTCGAGCCTGAGATTTGTGGCGGAGAAGTCGGCCGCTATGGTCAAATTCGGTGTCAAAAACCTTGATAATGACATCCGAATCGTAATCGGATTCGGACAAGAGTCTTTTAGAGCCCGAGGAACTGAGGGGATTAGGTGATCTGGAGCCCCGACAGACAGTTGATTTCATTATCTTCCCAATTTCGCTTGGCGTACGCTAGATTGAACCACATTCACATGTGAATAGTTGTATGGATATGTCAATGAGTTGTTTGCTTCTTGGCATCAGATTGAATCTGGATGGTGTCGTGGTGGTAAAAAAGTTGCCATCAACACCCTAACCGAATTGCTTTATATAACCAATCTTTGTCTCGCTGTCATTCTGAGCGCAACTGACAGCTTGATGCAGGCTGGAGATACTTGATGGGGCCTGCTTTCTATTTCATGCTTCATTTGAACAGCTTTACTCATTATCCATGATAAATTGTCTGGTGATTTGTTCACCGCATGTTCTTCAGGAGCCGTTAAGGCGCCAGTGTTATTGTTTCATCCTAGGACTTGTTACTTGCTGTGCGCTCCGTAACCTTGCCTTATTTCTCAATACTTTGCAGGGTTGGTGAACCGTTGCAATTGAAATGACCAGATGAGCAGATGTTATACAACCTGTTTAGCTGCGTGGGACGCGAAGCTAAGGAGGGAAGCGAGGAACAGTTCTGCATTTTCAAATATCTTTTTATCTCGTGTCTCCTTTTAGACTCTCTTGTGTTTCTGACTGGCAGTGACATTACCCGACAATGCATTCGCACGCATCTCTCCGGGCTGGCTGATTGAAATCAATTTTTTTTTTTTTTTTTGGTTTTGCTGGAGGGGTTGTTTCCAGCCGCCTGGCCAGACCACCAACCTTGGAAGTTGGCGGAATTGGAATTGGCTATGTTTCTTCTATATGTTTGTGTGTCTTGTGTTGTGTCTATGTCCTCAAGTATGGTTGCCACGGGCGGCTATTGGTAAAGATTTTTCTGTCAAAAACATCTGTTTGGGTGAGCCAGCACAATACTATTTTGCCAGCAGGTCCTAACTTTCCTTCAATTGCCACTAAAGAATTGAATACTTGGCTGTCGGTCATCATAATCATAAGCAAAGAGGCTCTTCATGCCTCACATCCGTTATCCATAATCCTAATCATCCTCCATAATTACATCATATCGTCAATCACATAACTACACTTTATTACATTATCATTTCATATTAGCTCCTTGTATTTTCATACATGATCATCCATCACACATACTTCAATTATGTTCATATCATTACGCCCATAAGCGTCATTACTTTATCACATCCATGTATTTACGTCCTTAACCTCTACCACTGTACCACATCAACAACATACATTAACATAAACACATGATCAATCACTTTAGCCATTCAAGTGGCCATTCACATTTGGCATACAATCATCATCACATTCATAACATAACTATCATATCATAGCCCTTCAATTCATATCACATCAATACTCATTCATTCGATATTCATGCTTCCTACCCGGGTCGCTTCATGACCCGAATAACTCAATATTATTATATGGACTTGGGTCGCTTCATGATCCAAATACCGAGTTTGCGTTGATGTAAATTTAGGGTTAGAATCTACTTACCCTTATGGTCGCTAATCCACAAGTCCTTTTTCCTTTGAGGACTCCCTAGCTTGCTCTTTCCCTTTAATCAACCATGTCACTCACATTTAATCATCTAAAGCAAGCATGTAACCATAAAATTGCATATAAGGGCCAAGGTGGGCGAGTAGTGGGTCAAAACATGCATTTCCTCGCCCTTAGGACAATCCCCTATCACCCCTTATTGATTCCCGGTCGGGGGTTTGTCCTCCCTTGTTGGGGGTCCCTCTGGAGCCATTCCCCGATAACCACCCCCCCCCTCCCAAATGATCCCCTCTCGGGGATCTCAAACGGTGCCAGGGAATTTTACCATGTTCACTATTTTGATCATATCTCGCTACATTTGTATACTTGTTTTTTATGCTTCTACATTTATTACAACTTCAACACGACATGATCATTATTTTACAACGCTGCGTAAAACTTTCGCACATTTAAGTTGTGTTTGAATTGAAATTTGATTTCGCCGATGGTAAGATAGCCTAGTTGGTAAAAGGGCTGGGTTTCGGGTTTGGGATGTGACAAGGTCCTAGGTTCGAATCCCAGTACCACCTTGATGGTTAGTATGCAGGTACCCCCAGGTTTAGTAGGCCCCGTTGTCACTCATGTGGCATGTGGGGTTGCTGAGGTTCCTAGGTTATCAAAAGAATTGAAATTTACGAACAATGGATTGGTCTAGTGGTAATAACATTAGCATTGAACCCTAAGGTCTAAGGTTCGAATCCTTTCAGTAGTACCTAATTACAAAAAATAACCTATATCACCCTTATCTAAAAAAAAAGAATTGAAATTTGATTTCAAAATGAGGGTTAAACTAGATAATATTAAGTCATACGATTGCAGTAACTCAATCATCTAAAAGAATGCACTTTGACAATTTTTTAAACTTTAGTACTTCTACCAAAAAACCTTTTATAAGTACATATATAAATATGAGGTAGAAACTAATTGTCTAAAAATTGCGAACAATGTTTGAGATTGGTGTGATAAATAAAGTGTAAGTTGTAAAGAGTGAAGAGTAAGTAGCACAATGCGCTGATCCGAACAACCTGCAATCCGATATTCACAACTCGCTTGACCAGAAACCCGATCAACTCGTAACCGGATGGACCCGCAACACGATGAACCCACAACCCGACTGATTCGTAAAAGGATGAACTCTTAAACAAACTAACCACAATCTGATTGAACCCGACTAACTCACAACCTGATCAACCCGAAACCTAACTGACCCATAACCCAATTGAACCCAACCCAAACCCGTTCGATACCCAACTCTAACTTTTCCAAGTCTACACTAGGGGTGGGCGTTCGGTCGGTTCGGTTCAAACCGAACCGAACCAGGACATCCCGAATTTCCGAAGTACCCAGCACCCCAACCGAATTCGAACCGAGCTATAATTCGGTTCGGTTTGGCCGAACCGAATTATAGCTCGGTTCGGTTCGGTTCGACTGCCCAAAACCGAAATGCTCACCTTATCTCAAACGAGCCCCTTCTCCCTCTCTACCCTATCTTTTCACTTCTCCCTGACTCTCTCTCTTCCGCCCTCTCTCTCTCTTTCGCCTTCTCACTTCTCCCTGACTCCTCCGATCTTCCACCCTCTCTCTCCCTCCAACCAACTAACACGGCGGCGACCGGCGATGGCGAGCACAACGCAGCTGAATCCTCTGATCTTCCCCCCTCTCTCTCCCTCCAACCAATTAACGAGCTGGCGGCGACCGACGACGGCGAGCACAACGCAGCTGCCGCGACAGCGTCGGTAGAGATCTCCGCCTCCAGTCGAAGGACGGCGGCCTGAAGCGATTGACGGCGGCGATGGTGATAACTTCAATGACGATGGTAGAGATCTCCGCCTCCAATCCCACTGACGTGCGACGACGACGAGCTGGGTACGCTCACTATAGAAGATTAAATCTGAGAGCGCAGATGAGGGAAATAGGATCTAGAATCGGGTAAACCATTTTCGACATGCATGTAGGTTTCTCGATTGATTTTCGATACTGATTGGATGCATGTGTATTTTTAAGTTTGGATTTGGGTTTCTGGTCTCAGGAGGAGAATAGAGCGGAGAGAGAGAAAGGGTCTCGAACTTCAGTGGTCGGCGAGGAGAAAAGAATAGAGATCAAGGGTGATTCTGTGGCGTCTCTCAACCAGGAGGGTTCGGCGGCACCTTTGACTGATCCTTGATGGGCAGCGGTGGAGGAGGCGGTCAGGCGGCGACTAGGGATGAATTTTACTTAGGGTTAGGTTAGCACCAGCAGAAGACATGGAGTGGTGGGCTGTAAGAAATTTAATTTTGGGCTATGTTTGGTTTAAGTTGTTAGAGGTTGGGCTTTGTGAGAGGCCTCAGTAGTCAAGTTGGGCTGTAGGATTGTGGGTTTAAGTTTCAGATCGGTTTCTCGGTTCGGCTAATCGGAATTCGGGTTCGGTTTGCGACCACTGGTTTCCGAACTATGACCTTTTGACTTCCGAATTCCGAACCGAAAAGTAATATTTCGGTTTCGGTTCGGTATAGTTCGGTTTCGGGTCGGTTCGGTTCGGGTTTACCGAACCGCATGCCCACCCCTAGTCTACACTGATATGACAAGCATGCTCCAAATTAAAAAAAAAAATTTAAAAGAATTGTTTTTAAAGATAAACCCCCTTCATAGAATATCACGCTACGCAATCTACGGGAACTCCGCGAAAAAAAGACATGGAGACGTTTCAAATGCCACCACGGTCGGCCAATGCGGTATCGCCACGTTACCTGACTACTGACTTTGTTGTAATTTTCTTCTCGTTTCTTCCTCTTTCTTCGGAGGAGAGGGAACGAAAAAGGCTTTTCCCTCTCTATCTCCTTCTTGTGTTGAAAATTTTGGCGGGCAATCGTGGAGGAATTCAAATCAAAATCAAAACCCTAGCGGAACCCTCACCAAATTTCCCATTTCTCTTTCCTTCCCCCCTTTCCCTCTGTCACTCTCTCTCCGCGGGAAGTTTCACTGGCTGCTCCAGGTGAGTTCATCTCTATGTTTCCTACGATCCGAGCGCTCAGTGGGAATTACTAGGGTGAATGATTTCTTCGGAGCTAATCCTTTGGTATTTGACTGAATTGAAGTTTGTTTACCTCACAGGACTGACTGGAGGCTGGAGGGTGGTTCATGTCTCCTGATTTCTTGAATTCGTCGAGGAAGGTTAAGACTTACGCTCGTTTTCTTTCAATTCGATTTCTTTCTTGATGTCGCGGACTCTGTTCCTACCCTTCATTTGCTGGCCTGTGATGGATTGAAGGAAGTAGTTGAAATTTTGTGGCTTCAGGTATCGGTTATATGTATGGTCAAGTTGTTTGGTTCCGTTGTTTATTGAAAAAAGAGGGACAATCCTGCTGGTGAGGAAAATAGGTTGCAAGAGGAGCCATGGGGAAAGTTTCTCCTAAGGATGGGGACTTTGACACTCCTAGACGACGAAGGCGGTTGCGGAGTTCAAGTAGCAGGTACCTGAAACCTGGCGCTCTTGCTCAGCTGCGATACAGCAAAGCGTCGGTGACAAAGTCATGTACCGATCTCGGAAGAAAGAGGGTTGCTGTGTTTGGCACCGAGAAGACAGATGTTCTTGACAATGTTGCTGTGGAAAATAAGGTGGATGCTCATGACAGTAGTCCATTGTTACTCTCCCCCGTGAATTTGTTCAAACAGAATCGCGCCGAGGGGACACCTAGGACGCCTCGTGTTGAAGATTGCGAATCTGAGTCGAGGCTGGAGTCTCTTCCCATGGATTTGCTGGTAAGGATGATCTCTGGCTGTGGGGAATATCGGTTTGTAGTTTTTCTATGAATCTGCTGCTCATCTCATTTGGAGGAGGTTTGGTCTGCTTGTATTGTTTGGCCAATGGAATTGATGAAACGAGTATAGTAACGCTGCTGTAGTAAAGCAAGGTTCAAGATTTAATCTGATCATTTGGGCATTATGACGCATGCGATTTGCTAAGATGAACTGATAAACCCATTTTGATTCATTCTCATTTCATGCTTCGCTGAACAACATTTTGTTGCCCTTTCATATCTTGTCTTAATTTTGTGTATCGACTTAGGCTCTTCTCCTTATATGTCAGGTTAATGTCCTGTGCCACCTTCATCATGACCAGCTAAGGGCAGTTTTCCATGTTTCTCGGAAGATTCGGAAGGCTGTAAGCTCCTCTGCTCGCATTTCTGAGTTGGATTTTTGAAAGAACATAACAATGTAGTTGACTCTGCTTATAATCTGATGGCTGTAGGTCGTGATTGCCAGGCAATTTCATTTCAATTATACCACCCCAGATCGTTCCAGACAGGAGATGTTGCGAACAATGACACCGCTCCCTGCAGAGCACTATCCTTTTGTTGGGTAAGTCGGACTTCAACAATATTGTCAATAGCTGTATTCTATTTTTCTTTTTTTTCCCCCTTCACAAGCACTTACTTCCCATGTTTTGGGGTGGCCATTGGCAGGAAGGGAGATGGAAAGAGTGTCTTACTGCCAAGCCCCCATACTCCTAAAGCACCAAGACAAGGTCCCAGGCCACCTTCTCGCCTGAAAATCACAGAGATGAAGCAAATTGCAGCCGTGCTTTTCCAGGATTCTGCTTTCCCCCCAAGATGTGTGGTTCCTTCTGCTTTGTCCAAACCCATATGCAAGTCTTTGGCTTCTAATCGCGTTCTCTTCTATGAGGATGAGTTATGCCATGCTGTTGCTCAAAATAAGCTTCGATAGTAGTCCTGTCTTTTTCCAGAACTCGGGTTTCCTCCTTGTGTATAGTTTGCTCTCTCTAAGCTCTTCAGCTAGTTTTAGTCAGGAAAGGGAAGGTACCAATTTTGTGGTGGACTAAACCATTAGTTGGGGTAGCGATTGTTAGTTCATCATAGTTGCCTTAGGAATTGAACAGGAGTGTGCAATGCAATAATAGGGGTCTGAGGCTAGTTGGTAACTTTGTATATATTCTTATCTATACATATATATTTTGAGAAGGCAGCTGAGTTTTCAATGAACCAACTAGTGCTTGCTTTGGAAATTACTAGCGATTGTTGCAGTATATAATTTCTATTCAGGCCTTTTTTGGTGTATTCTATTTTTCCTTGTACTCGTTTGGTTTGTTCATCACAATCCAACTGTAACTTACTCATGGCACATTCTATGCAATTTGGTTATTCTGCTCACAAAGGGAGATAGGGTTCCACATCCCACCTATATATTTGGATAACTAGGATTTTTTTTTTTTTTAGAAGATAATGGATAAAAAGAAAGAGAGGAGCCAAATACTCTTTGAGGTTGTCTCACAATTTAATTGAGATTTAATGTCCACATACTTTTTTTTTTCTCCTTTTCTTTCTCCCTTGGTCTATGAGATGAGAATATTAGTTTAGATATTCCAAATAGTTTTTTTGGTGCGTTTAAATATTTGTTCGACGCTTACTAATACGTGTTCATTTGTGTGAAATATTTGTTGGTCTCAGATATAAGAATACTAGTTCGACACTTTTGAATATTTGTTCGACGCCTTTGAAGACTTTTTTGGCGCTTTTGAGTACTCGTTCAACGCCTATGAATACGTATTCATAGGTGTCAAACAAGTATTCAAAAGTCACAAAAAAGCATTCAAACGGGCAGAACTAGTATTCAAAAGCTTCCAACAAGTATCTCTAATACGAACAAATATTCATAACAAATGAACACATATTAATAGGCGCCGAGCAAGTATTCAAACACCGCCAAAGTATTCAAAGTTTTCGAACAAGTATTCTCATCTCTGAGACCAAAAGAAATGAAGAAAAGAAAAAATAAATAAAAGAGAAAGGTGATTGACACCATGGTTGTCATGCCGGTCGCATGCCGGCCGTCGTCCGATTGAACTCAGTTCAACCGATGTTGGTCGAACTTGGGTCAACTGATGTCGGTCGAACCTGGGTCAACCGATGTCGGTTATGAAATATCAACAAGAACACCACCAGTTTGACTTGCATGATCAAATTAACACTTTTAAGTAACATGAAGTCATTTTAGTGAATTTAATTAATAAAAAAAATAATTTATAATATATTTTATGAATTTAAAAGTTAAATGTTGATGTTATTAGTTGGATTCAAGTATAAACTTTTACTTATTGACGTTAAATATTGTATTTAGAGGCTGATATTAATGACTTTTCACATTTTTTCACATTCTATTAACCCGGTATGAAATGGTACAAACCAGTTGTACCACCGGTATAATCATTCCACTTGCTAAATCGACAGAACGGTATATACCGGTTCGACAACCTTGATCGACACATTTCATGTCAATTATGTTGAGGAACCACCCTCTTAAAAGTTGTTTGGCTCCCCTTATTTTTTCTTACCCAAGCCCTTCCCAAAATAAAGAAATCATAGCCCTGCAAATTAGTTGGTGGAATGTGGAAGCCCATTTCACGTTATGAGTACCTGCTCACAGAATAGGTTGTGAGCAGGATAAGGAAATTGCACTGTATGAGTATATGCTTAACAGCTTAAGTGGTTGTGAGTCTTGTGAAGTCATAGAAGGAGTTGGAATAAATGGCTGAAAGTGAGTGGCTAGACAAGAGTTTGAGAAGAGGTTTTGGTTGACTTAGGGCTCGTTTGCTTTGTGGATTTGAAAAATATCAAGCAAACAACCCCTAAATGAGCCAAATGCAAACCAAGGATGTATTAAATGCTACTTGCGTTTTAAGCACAAAAATGGGTCACAAGTGTAGGGAAAGGAGCAAAACAAAGAGATCACAACAGAGATCATAACCGAGAAGAGGAGTCTCGAAGTCAACCAGGAGATCGCGACCTCTGGAGCAAAGATCGCTTCCGCGATATGGAGTGCCAACCGTGAACTTGAGGAAGCAGTTACCAAGGAATGGACAGACAGTTTCGATAGTTGACTCGCAGTCTCAATTGTCCAAGACCACGAAAAAAATCTTGATTGTGACTTACGAATAGCGACTGTGAAGTCAGGCCGCGAACTCCCGAGCTAGCTAGAGCAAAAATGTTGTGTTTCAAGATCGTGACGTCACACCCCATGTTCACACTCACGACCTCTTAGCTCGCAACCTCGAACTTGCTCGTCCTCATGAAGTCTATAAATAGGGGATCCCTTCTCCTTTGCAAAGAGAGGTGAAACACTTGAATACATTTCTAGTTCTAGAGAGAAGTTAGAGAGAGAAGCTAAAGGAAGGAGAAGAAGGAAGGGATTTTCCATCAATCCCCCATCTCTAGTTTTCTTTCCCATGCTTCTATGTATCTTCTTCCCTCTTTACAAGGTAGTTACTCAAGGTACTAGGAATATAATCCCCAAACCCTAGATTTAGGTTTTATTATGTAAAATGAATTTTGTTAGGGTTTGTGAATAAAATGAGTTTACCTAGTGTTTACATGCATTTATCTATGTTGATTATGCTTTGAACTTGTCTCTCCATATGCTTTTCATGATTGCCTAGTTAGGGTTTGCATGACATGGTTGTGAGTTTGAGAGGTTTGGCAAATTAATGTAGATGAATGATCTAGGGGCCTAATTGGTGGTCGAGGTGAGTGGTGACCATCACATTCTAGTTGGGATGCACATCTAGGTAATGCTAGCGCGATACGTGCGTGACCATCGACGTATCGAAATAGTGTGCAGATAGGTGCAACCTATTGAAAGGGAATAACTGTATCCCTAGTTCGTGAACATGATCAAGGTAACATTGGGTCAGCGGATCAGATTAAGATGGGGGCTAGTTGCATTACCATTGAGCTAGTCTCCAAATTAGTGAGCCCCGCACTTCGTTTCCCATAAACCGACAGAGTTATCCTTTTGCATGATAGGCCTAGTATCTTGGGGATTGGATGCCTTGAGTACTTGTTTTTTTATCTCTGCTGTCGTAGTCAGTTATTTCCATTTGTCCTCCAAACAAACACAAACCTGATCGAGTAGATAACGACCAAGTGAGAAGTAGCTCAATATATCAAGACTCATGGAATACGACCTTGATCAACCAGTATACTGACAATCCCATCTTGAGTTATACTTGACTCAAGATGGGATAGTTTAAGCCGTGAAAACAATTAATAACTCGCACGGAGTGGCGACCAAGTGTTAGTTTACAACACAAAGAAAATTCTGGTCTATTTAAGTAGTGCCTGAGATTCATTTGGGCTTCAAAATGAGGGCTAAGTTTGGTATATTAAGTCAGACAATTTCAACTGCAATAGCTCGATCATCTAAAGTAATACAAAATAAATTAGCAGTATGACAAGGTTTTAAAACTCTAATAGGTATTTCCACAAAAAATAATATAAGTACACATACATGATAGACATAAATTGTCTAAAAATTGTTAAATTTTTTTTTGAAATTACTTTAATAAATAAAGTGTAAGTTGTAAGGAGTAAAGATTAAGTAAAACACAATGCGCGAACCCGAAAAATCTGAAACCCGATCCATCCAAACCTACTTGATCTGTAACCCAATTAACCCACAACCCGTTGAACCCGTAACTCGAATGACCCTTAGCCCAACTGACTCGCAATTCGAGAAACCCGAGCACGACTAACCTGAACCCGAAACCCGACCAACCCTAACCCTATCGAACCTGCCCGATTCAACCTCTAGGTGTGGGCGGGTGAAGTATGAGGGGTGTATATAGTATAATCGGGGTACCATTAGGCGAATGCAATAATCAATAAGGAGCCAAAATGAAATAGTGAACAAGGCGAGGGTTTGGCCTTGGTACCGTATAGTTTACGTGTCTGACCGTCTGGTGAGGAACTCAGCTCTCTGGGGGTGGGGATTGGAGTAGTGCCCAACCTATGGCTATGGGCAAGAAGAGGAGTCCTTCCAACATCTCTTTTTCCGTTGATATGAGTAAAACCAAACTAATTTGAATATGGTAAAGAATACTGCACTATATGCACTCACTTTAGCAAATTATAACATACATCCAGCAAAAGAAGATTATTCTAGAAGGCTTCATAATCATCAAAATTATTAATAAGAGAGAAATTGGCACACGTCAGATTCAGATGGAGCTCGGCCAACGGCACCACGCAAAAGACAATTCAATGCGCCACTTTCTCGTCGCCGTATTGTTGTCTATAAAAAAGACTCGGCGTCCCTGAATGCAACCCCTAACCCTAAGAACTAAAATTGGCTGAGCAATACCATAACATACAGGGAGCAATGTCAAAAATTCCCCATTCAAACCAATGGTGCCACAACGAATAATTAGGCGGGAGGAATCAAAGGATAATAGTCCCAAAGAAAAAAATGAATTCTTTACAAAATTCCAATAATCTGATGCCACCATCTTCAGCCATAAAAACGTTTACTGCCTTATGTTTCTAATTTTCCTTTGATTTTTCATTTCATTTCCTTTCCGATTTTTCATATTTTTTTTAAAGAAATTGATGTTTTAGTTTTTTTGTTTTTTTTTTTGTGTTTGGTCTTTTCAAAAGCTGGAACCTTGTTTCCTAAACCACCATATATGTTCTAGAAGAAGACCTCGACGAGAAACCATGTTTCATCGCGATCAAGGCAAGACCACTACCCATCCATGTTGTTGAAACCCTCCCCTCGCTCCACACTTTTCGTCCAAAGCACCATCGATGTGCATCAGAACACATCCACGCTTCAATTCTTGGCAGAAGTGAAGTGATCCAGACCTTCATGGCTAGATGATGGCTGTGGTTGACTACTAAAATCACCTGACGAAGATCTACTTTGGAATGCCTTTGATTGAATATCAGCTTGACGTCTCGCGTTACTCTGGCCACTGACCTCCTCTAAGGACATGTTTTGCACGTTACCCGCAAGCATCTCTTGATTCGACTTCCCAAGGCCTTGAGGGCTAGGGCTAGGGGCACTTGGAAACTGAACAGATGGTGGCAATAACCACCTCATCCAGTCGTGTCTTCTTCTTACTTTGTCACCCTACCGTACAATGCAATCGGATCAATCAGTCATTTAGTAAAATTGTTATTCAGCGCATAAGAATGTCAATAAAGATGGAACCAAGAGATACCTGCACTTCTACCACAGTGGAAGACCTGAGCGCATCCAATATAAACTGTATGTTATCAGTCAAATGTGAAACCTGCACAAAAATATCCTCATAATGTATTATTATTAATATGGCCACTGGATAACTCTACTCTAAAGCTAGCCACAAGCGAACACAGTAAATGGACATTATTACAAGTATTTTCTAGAAGCGAAAACAGTCAACTCTCAAATACAAGATGATCTTCGCAGACCAGAAAATCGTGGCAAAGACATCAACAACATCAAAGGTATGCTTGCATACAATAAAGGCAAGCATATAATCTTCAACTATCCAATCATCATTTTTAATCCAAAAGAGAAACTTGGAACATCCGTGCCTTTCATATCTGTGTTTCTTTCTTTGTTCTAGGTTACATAGAATAATAACCAAAAATGGAAACTTCAGTTGTACTCTCACCAAGAGCATCAAACACAGCTCAAACAACCGGACTTTCCCAATACGAAATGAGTTCAAAACCATTCAGTTATGATTCATAAAAGACAACAAGCTGATATAAACACAATTTTAACTAAGATCACTTCGAACTGAGCCCTATTTCTATACAAAACCTACACTGAGGCCATATCCCCTCGAGACAAAAGTCCATCAATTTAGAAAAGAAATAACACGTTAACTTCAGGAAATTCATACCAGAGGACAAACAGAAGCAGCTAATAGACCACATACCAGTTCTTTCTGGAAACAATAACCAAGGATACTGGTCTAGCAGTAATGTCCAGTAATATCCAACATGAATGTGGAATTTTTGTTCGAAGCAGAATATGAATCAGCACTAAAGATATCACAGTTTATATGAACAACACACACAGATGATTTATGTAAAGATCCCCTTATAGCTGCAAAACTCAGTCTTTCAACAATTAGTAGTATGTGGAAATACATTGAGCACCAAATAAATCCAGAATCTGTATTCATCTAAAACAATGAAATACACATGAAGGCTTTACACATCATGCAACAAAATTGATACTAGAGCATTTTATGACAAAAAAAAAAAAAACAGCAATCAACATTGATCTTGTTAAAGTTAAAACATATGTAGCCCCACAAAAGCTCCGGACTTCAATGATGCATTATTCAAAGTTGTGTACCAGAAAAGTATTGAGCATTTACCGGCTTATAGACCAACTTTCTCCCATGTTCTAATATGAGCAATTGAAATGAAGTGGGAACGAGGGGAAAAGATACTGAAAATTAACTTCAAACATGGAACAATAAAGTATGAACTTGCCAGGCTTAAACTCACTTTGTTGAAGCCTGCAATTAATTTAATGGGTACCCAGCCCTCTTCATCCATATTCTGGCGCAAAAAGGTGTCCCGAATTAAATTTTCATTACTGCAATACACAAATAAGTTCATATCATTATCAGGCACTCAAAGTATACAGAAACACTTCATTCTCAAATGCTTAATGCAAAGTACACATGAAACGGGATACCTAAAATAGTAATCAATCTGAGCCACTATTTTAGAATGCAACTGAAAATCTGGAGCAGGGAAGAACATCGCATGAGGTTGTATTTGTCCTGGAACAAAAGGCACTCCTCTCAAAGTTTGTGGAGGTGGAGGACCAGTCATGTAATACAAAGGAGAAGCCAATTCTGTGAGAGCCAACAAAAGCAGTTAAAAGAGAGGAAGAAATAGAAGATTAAGTAATCAATGAGTATAACAATTACTAGCAAGCAAGAGAACCTGAGGTAGATACACAACATACCAGGGAAACCCATGGGAGCTCCAAAGGGCCGCACTGGAGCAGGTCCCATAAAAGGTGTAGACGCAGGAGGAGGTGGGTGCCTCACGAACCTCGGTGTGACCCTCTGTGGCTGCTGCACATGGCCATCCCTACCATTGAAACTCCTATTATGAGTATTCCAGTCCTGATTTCCGCGGTCTTGATCACGCCTACCTCCTCCATAACTATGATGATTGTAAGAGCCATCTGCACGAGAATGTGGGCCACCACCATTGCGGTTTCTGAATGAACTGCGTTGCTGCCCTGAATGCTGTTCATTACTACTGCGGGGCTGAGAACTTCTTGAGCCATGGTCCCTAGGAGAAGGGTTATTTGAGTGATGAACCTCCGCTACGTGTCCCTGTGACACTACCAAGGGCTGAGGATAGCTACCATCAGAAGAAGGAGCGCTGTTACGCGGTTTTATTGATCTTTGGCGCTGTGGAGTAGTATGGTTTGGAGTTGAGTTGGGAGTTGCATTATTATTGACTTGTCTCTGAGGAGACGAGGATGCAGGTACCCCTCCCTACACAATCAAGCAAAGAGCAATGATTCTAATAAGCCATAATGAAGCACCAAGATACGGGGAGACAACAAAGTAAACCACCATGTCCAATCCTATTGAGAAACGAATGGGAATTAATTCTCTTCTATCTACCTAGTTCGCCTATAGTAGGTGAAGATCACATAACTGAAGTGCAAGTACACAAGCATCCCAAATCAAATCAGCTTGTATTAGACTCGATTAATTTACCATCTATCAGTTGACAAAGCCAGAATGTAACCGTCAATCAGAATAAAAAAAGTGATGCGAAAAGAAAATTGTACCGAGACAGGCACCGCAGATGATGATCCATCGGGCGGGGACGATTTAGAGGAAACCCTAGCGGATTCAGATAAAGCAGGCCAGGAAACAGCTCCCATAACAGGTCCAATCTCTACAGCCCCATTAGACGGTACATTCCAAGCTGGTCTCTTACCAGCATTGCCATTACAGATCTCATCATCCGTATTTGAAGAGGACGAAGCGGAACCCAAGACTTGTTCCGACAGAGCGGTAGGGGAAGAAACAGCTGCCGGTGGAGACAAAGGAGCCACAGAGCTTGTTTCTGACTCCCCTCTAACGACGTGGCTCCACGCCGATGAAACAAACGCCGTCTTGCCGGCACGGCGAGATTGCAGATTATTAAGCTGCTGAGGTTGAGAGATATTATTGCCGCTATTCTCCATTAGCGCGCGTAACCAGAGAAACCCTCAGAGGGAGGAGTAGGGGAAGGAAACCGGAGGGAGAGGAAGAGAGTGTCAAAAAAGTGTCATATGGTGTGGAATTAACAGTGTATTTTCAGAGACTGGTTTTCTGATCGGCGTGATTCCAAAATAAAACAACCACAAGCACACCCAATCGAACCAGAAAATTAGGGTTCGGAGGTGCGATTGGCAAAATGCCGATACACGATTTAACAAAAAAAAAAAAAATATATATATATATAGATTCTCGTACGGGAGAGATCGATAGGAAACGGGAGGTAGAAGGAGAGGGCGGCGGATTTTTGCAGCTCTGCCCCTCTAAATTTTCTTTTTCCTTTCCCTGTTTTCCTTTTACCTCTATTTTCTCTCTCCTTCTCTACATGTTCTTTTAGCGACTCTTCCTCTTTGTCTTTAGTTAGCTCTAGGGTTTTGTTTTTGTCTTGATGTCTAAGGATGGAAATCAGTATTGTATTTATTCGACTTGTTCTAGTTTTTACCACGATTATTTGGTTGTTTAGTTTGTTTATCGTCGTTTTGAAGCTATCATATGTAGGATTTTTTGAATGTTTACTATGTTTCAGGCCACAACAAGTGACATCGGCGGAAAGACTGGAAGTCGGACGAAAGAGATCGAAAAGGGAGCAAAACGGAGAAAAGTGAATAGATCACGGTTTGGAGGGATTATCACGGGCTACAGACCGTGAAGATTACAAGGAGGTCGTGAAGCTCGTAGATTTCCACGAGGTTTCGCTTGTCTTGCCGGCAGTGCAAGGAATACGGTCTCAGACCGTGAAGTAAGTATGGAATCGTGAAGTGTGTTCATGAAGCAAAGCGTTTTACACTGAGATTACACTTCATGGGCGTGAAGTGAAATTGTGAAACGTGCACTCACAGGCTATATAAAGGAGAAGGAGCAGAATTTCAAAGAGGAGAGTTTAGAGTGAGATTGAGATTGAGTTTCTTGTTCCTTAACCTATAGAGAGAAAGCTACGAGGAAGGGAGAATTGATTGTGGATTTGACCTACCCAAACCATTTGGAGACTAGATTTCATCTCCAAGGATCAATCCAAACAACTAGGAAGACAAAGAATCAAGTTCCCATGAGTTTTTCCTCTTTTCTAGTTGTTGCTCTTTTTTCTAGCTATGAAATAGTTTTTTTCACTTGGATGATGTGAACTCTAGTATAGGTTGTTGTAGGTGATGTTTGTGAACTCTATATGATGATGAGCATGTTTAACTATATATTGATTGAGTATTTTTAGGCAAATTGAGTGTTCTTGATCAAAATTCTCAATTTTGGGGCAAATTGACCTAAGAGAGAGAAGATCTCCTTATGGGAATTTGAGTCACTATTTAGTCAAAGTAAAGAGCCATGAATTATGGTGATTGGTATCTTGACGTCGTTCCGTGTCAATTTCCGAGGGATTGGATTTGGTAATACTAGTCGTCTTTTACGGTAGTGTGGTACGCTCCTCCAATTAGACTGATTAGGCGGGGTTAAGATGCACTCAAATAGGGGGTCCTAACGGTATATAGAACTTGTCAATTGAACTAGAGTGTCACAATTTCATGTCAACACGAGACTAGAGGGAATATCATCCGAGAGGAGCCTTCTCCTCTTGAATTACTATCGTTTTAGTTGTTTGTTGTCTTAGTTTGATAGTTTTAAACAACGTTTCAATGGGTAGATAACGTGTGGTTTATTGAAGTAAGGATAGACGAACTGCCTGGATTGATAATTAAAAATATACTTGCCTTATACTACATCCCTCATAGGATTATACTTGGCCTATGGTAGGAGTGTGTAATAGGTCGCAAGTCAAGTATCGGTATCCTGATACTAAATACCAAAATCTCAAATACCGAATTACACACCAAAATCAATTTCCATCTCAATCCTTAAATATTTTGGTATCCCAATCTATATTATCGAATACAAATAAGTATATAAATTAGAGTTGGTAATCTGATATAGGGCAAATAGAGTAGGCAAAAAGGTATTGAGTTCGCAAAGAGCTAGGACATGGACAAGGAGAAGGGAGTAGATAATGACATCTCAAATTCTTTTTATTTTTAATCTTTAATTTGATGGAATGGAGGCTAAGAGATGACTAATAAGAGTGTATGCTTTTAGTGTTATGAAAATAACAAGAGTTTAAGTGAGAAACGAGAGTGACTTAAACTGGAAATCCAAAATCAGACTGGGTGAAGGCTTATGAGTTTTCTAAGAGTGAGCAATGACCAAAAGTTATGCGTTATATTTCATTAATTTTCAATTTTTGTTGTTTCTCGGTATTTCAGTATACCGATCTCAATCCTGAATATCGAATAACACTCCAAATTGAATTCCAATCCCTAAAAAATAAATTAGTATTTGGTGATACCAAACAATGATAAATTCGGTACGATATTCGATATTATCCCAAATACTAATATCAAACTTCCAGCCCTAGGACTGATGTCGTGTGTAGTTTTGGCAATTATTACCTTCAAAGCTTTTATCATGGGGTGGAATGGGATAGGGATGGAAATTGAACCTATACTTGTGGGTACTTAACTGAATATGATTCGTTTAAATTAGATAAAACTCCAATATCCAAGATTTGTGGTCTATTATGGATTATAATTGCTTTTGTAATTGACATTGGGTTAGGTGCAAGTTTTGCTAAAACTCGATCCATTTTTCATTTTACCCGACTCAAAAATTAAGACGATGTCGTTTTATATCTGTTTGAGCCACGTTATCCTCTTCACCGTCCGGACGCCTCCACCTGTCTGGCGCAAACCCACTGGTGCCGACCTACACACACAAAGAGGAGGGTGCCTTGGCCCGTGAATCCTCCGACGCCCAAGTTAGTTTCTGTGGGAGAGCAAAGTTCTCAAGTAGTACTTTGGGGAGAGAGAGTCCAACCTGCATAAATGCTATCAGCTGCCCCTATTTATACTCACCAAACCCGAGGTTGATCTCCGCCACGTCACCATCCTCATTTAATGCTCTGTGCCCCCTCTGTGAGACAGCTAACCGCCTTGTCAGGCTCCTGACACATGACAGGCATCCCACAGCTCTGCCAGGCTCCTGCAGGCAGTGGTCCACCAGTCAGTTGGCCGCCACCTGGCTTTTGGTGTTTTATTCTTAAGGTCCCTTCTCTTGTTTGGGCCCAAGGGCCACTAGAGAATATTGGCTCTTATCTTTTGGGCCTTTCCCCCCAACTCCTTCTTTGGGAGCCCAAGCTCCTAGCTTGCTGGGTAATACCCCCAACAATTGCCCCCCCAGTTAGGTGCTCGTGGCTTCGCCTTCGAGCGCCTGACTGAACCTCTAGCTGTAATTCGACCTTCTCTTAGTCATCTGGCGCTTGTCGCACGGCGCATGCATCGTGTTTTTACTTCCTTCTTGGTCCTACGGGGTGCGTTTGCCTCTCCCCTTCCGAGAGCGGGCGTCGCACCTTTGGTGGGGCTCCTTGCCGTATGCTCTTTCATGTGCTTCTGCGCCTCTTGCCAAATGGGGCGCCTTTTCTAACTACCCCTCCCCTTCGGGCGTCGGGTCCTCGCCTGTGCTCACTGTTTCGCGTGTTCTCTTTCCGCGGTCTTTTTTATAGGCGTCCTCTCACGGTGTCGTTCTTGACGTGTGTCCTTATCCCTTATGCCCCCCTCACCCACGCTTTGCTTGCTGGGGAAATTTGGAGAAAAGAAAATTCGAAATTCGAAGTTTGGGAGTTGAGAAATTTCCCCAAAAAGGAAAGGGTGGGGGAAGCTCAAGGGTCCGCCCGTGGTCTTGTGGCTCGCGAAAAGACCAAAAGGTGGGGGGAGCAGAAGGGTTCCTTCGGCATGACTGACACGTGTCATGCAGTGGGCAGATTTGGTGAGTCTTCGTTTTTCTTTAAATACCCCTCCCCCTTTGCGATGCTGTCACTTTCTTCCCTTTGACCTCTCTCTAGACTTTTGCTCTGACCTCTCTCTAGCTTCCGCTCTGACCTCTGTCCTCTTTCCTGTCAGTTCTTCGCTTCCGACACAGCGCTTTTGTCAAAAATGTCTTCTCCACAACAAGACAAGACCTCTGGCCCCGGCGCCTCGGGCGCAGGCGCCTCTGGCGATGGTGGTGAAACAAGGCGCCCAGTTCAACGTGGTAAGTGGACCTTTTCCCTTCGTCGATTTCGTTGAGTTTATTCTAGTCACCTAGGGTAGGGGCGTCACTTACCCCTTGTCCGCGTTGCGTCTGGGTCATTTGTTGGTTTAGAGCGGGCGCCTGCTTCCTCATCTGCTGGGCCATCAAGTTCCTCGGCGCCTGGCTTCTTGCCCGCCGATGGGTCGTACAAGATCACCTCGTGGGAGAAGTGTTTCCCTCCTGATCATCTGCCCATCGAGACGTCTCACTTATCGTTCGAGGTGGCCGGGCCAAAGCACACGTCAACAGTCACTTTGGACCGGGTTCATGAATTGGTGACCAGTCTCCAGCTTCCCAGAGATTGGTGGTATGCGCCTCCATCGCCTCTGTCCCGGGTAGGCGTCTGTGGCCCAAAGTGGATCGGGATTTATCAGGAATACTTCCGCTTCGGGCTACAGTTTCCCCTGGATTCGGTCATGGAGGGAATCCTGACGACCTGCGCCTGCCCCCTCGGGCGCCTATCTCCCTCGGTCATCACGGTTGTCATTCTGTTCAAGTTGAGGTGCCGGGAGCACAACGTGGAGCCCACATTCAACTTGTTCAGATATTTCTTCAAGATGGTGCCGCTCGACAATTGCTTGTCTCTCCAGAAACGAAAGAAGCGCCCCTATCATTTTGTGAAGAAATGTCCCAAGTTGAACCGAAGCTGGTTCAACGGTTTTTTCTTCGTGAAGGCCTATCGAGACTCCTTCTTTGCGAGTGGAGGCGCCTTTGTTAGGAAATGGGAGTTGGGTCAGGTCGAGGATTTTAACAAGCCGGTGGTTTTGACGGCGTCTGAAAAGGCAGGCGCCCCCTTAATTTGCGAGGGGGAACCCGTTGACTTACGCCCCGCCGAAAACCGCCCGCCTATTATTGAGGCGTATTATAATAATTGTGTGTAGGCGTCTAGGTGTTCTATTTCTTTGCTCCCTTGTTTGTGTGATGGACTAATTTATTTTTGTCATATGCAGGGGCGGACTACTCAAGCATTGCCAAGCTCATGAAGAGTAGGTTGGCGGCAGAGGCGGCCGCGGCGGCGCCTGCACAACAAGAGGCGCCCATCCAACAAGAAGCGCCTGCAACTCAGTCACGGGCGCCTGCAGCTGGCCCCAAGAAGCAGAAGAAGAGGGCGGTGAAGGGTGGCACCGCTCGGGCGCATACGGCGAGCGTGACCTCGTCCGCCCCGGAGGA